ACATGCAGGCAGAACACATACACACAATTCAAGTCCAAGTGGATCACAGATCTCAACGTAAAACCAGAAACACTAAACCTGATAAAAAGAAGAAAGTGGGGAAAAGCCTTGACTACCTTGGCACAGGAGACAACTTCCTGGAAAGAACACCAATAGCACAGGCACCAAGATCAGCAGTTAAAAAATGGGACTGTAGAGGGATTTTAATCCAGCAACATGGCTGGATTACAGCCCTTTAGCACACACTTTTAACCCTCTGGCTGGAATACAGACATGACCTTTGTACACACCTTTAATCCCAAACAATGAAGGTAAAGTTAGTTCAAAGAAGAGAGCACCCATGTTTGAAAGTGATGTCTAATAGAGAGGCAGACAAAGTGACAAATCAGAGAAAGATTTGACAGGATAGGACACACCCAACTCTCATGAGAACAGAGAAGAAAGAGAGGCTACCTAAGAGAGAGCAGCTCCTGGAGAGTGGAGAGGGGGGGAAAGGGGAGGGGAGAGAGAGGGAAGAGAGAGAGAGAGGAGAGAAAGGAGGAGAGAAGAGAGAGTAGGGGGAGAGAGAGGAAAGGAGAGAGGACAATTTTACAGGGACAGTTGTACTGACACAGGTTGCAGAGAAAGAACAAACTAGACACAGATGAAGACAGAACCAACTAGAGAATGAGAAAGAACCAGAAGATTAGAACAGATTGCCAAAGTTGTACGAGGCCAAGAAGAGCAATTCAGTCAGAAGCTGAAAGAAGCATTTTGAATCAGCCAGTGTGGAGAGGAGTTTGAGCCAGGACAGCTGAGTTCAACCAGAGTTGAGGAAGAGCTAGAAAGGGTGAGCTTATTCAGCAGCAAGTCTCAGAGGCCGAAAACAATCTAGGCCTAAGATTGTATGGTGACTAGAAGCTTCCAGGACTAGGCCCAAGTTAGCAGCCAGAAGCCTTGGAGATGACAATTACATCAGACAAATAAAAGACACTTTTACACGGGATCTCATGAAACTGAAAAGCTTCTTCTGTAAGACAAAGGACACTATCAATAGGACAAAATGGCAGCCCATAGAATGGGAAAAGATTTTCCCCAACTCCACATCTGACAGAGGGCTAATGTCCAAAATACATAAAGAACTTATGAAACTAACCATCAACAAACCAATTAAGAAACAGGATACAGATCTAAACAGAGAATTCTCAACAGAAGACTCTCTAATAGCTGAGAAACACTTAAAGAAATGTTCAACATCCTTAACCATCAGAGAAATGCAAATCAAAATGATTCTGAGGTCCTTCTCACACAGAACGGCTAAGATCAAGAACACAAGTGACAGCTCATGCTGACAAGGATATGAAGCAAGGGGACATTCCTCCATTGCTGGTGGGAGTGCAAACGTGTACAGCCACTGTAGAGATCAATATGGTGGTTTCTCAGAAAACTGGGAATTGATCTACCTCAAGATCCAGTTATACCACTCCTGGGGATATACCCAAAAGACACTCCATCCTACCACAAGGGTACCTGCTCAACTGTGTTCATAACAGCTTTATTCATAATAGCCAGAAACTGGAAATCACCTAGATGTTCCTCAACAGAAGAATGGATGAAGAAAATGTCCTGCATTTACACAATGGAAACTACTCAGCTGTTTTTTTTTTAAATAACATCATGAAATTTTCAGGCAAATGGATGGAACTAGGAAAAAAAAATCATACTGAGTGAGGTAACCCAGACCCAGAAAGATAAACGTGATATGTACTCACTTATAAGTGTACATTAGCTGTAAAGGATGGTTGTGCTACGATCCACAGAGCCAGAGAGGCTAAGTATCCAGAAGAGATCAACAGGGACACATGAGTCTCCCCAGGAAGGGGAAATAGATTTCACAGGTGGACTGGAGGTGAGTGAGAATGGGAAGAGAAGGGCTGGGGTGTAGAGAGAGTACTGGGAGAGATGGCTGGAATTGGGGGCACTTAGGGGTGAGGTAGAAACCTAGTGCACTGGAAACTCCCAGAAATCTACAAGAGTGACCCTAGTGAAGACTCCTAGAAATGAGGGCTGTGGAGCCTGAACTGGCCATTTTCTGTCACCAGCCAAGCCCTCCAATGGAAGGATTGGGACCCCAATCCAACCACAAAACCTTCAACTTACAATTTATCCTGACTGCAAGATGTGCTGGGTTAAGCCAACTAATGACTGGTCCAACTTGAGATCCAAATCACGAGAGGGAGCCCATGCCTGACCCTGCCTGGAGTCCAGGAACCAGAGGCTGGATAGTCCAGAGAGCTGGGATAGAAGAAGAAAGTCGATGAAATGGTTCCCAATGGTACTCTGCTATACCTTTAGACTGAAGCCTGGCATGATCACCATCTGGGATGCTTCGTCCAGCAACTGGTAGGAGCAGATGTACAGATTCACAGCCAAGCATTAGGCAGAGCTCGGGGAATCCTGCAGAATGGGGAGGGGGGATTGTAAGAGCCAGAGGGGTGAAGGACCTCAGGAGAACATGGCCCACAGAATCAATTAACCAGGGCTCATAGGAGCTCACAGAGACTGAAGGGCAATCGGGGAGCACACATGGGTCTAACCTAGGTCCTTTGCATACACGTTATGTAACTTGGTGTTCTTAGGGAACTCCTAACAGTGGAAGCAGGGGCTATCTCTGACTCTTTTGCCTACTTTTGGGACCCTTGTCCAGCCTTAATTTGAGGGGATGTACCTAATCTTATTGCAAGTTGAGATGTCATGTTTGGTTGATATCTCTGGCAAGCCTACCCTTTTCCAAAGGGAAATGGAGGAATGGACCTAAGGGGCAGGGGAGGGAGGAGGGAGGGAGGAGTTGGGTGGGGAGGAGGGAAGTGGAAACTTTATAGGCAATGTAATATATAAGGGAACTAAAAAATAGAAATCAATAAATTAGCATTGCCTTTTGAGTGAAATAGTTAACTACCGTCTTTAGATTCCTCATCTCTGGGATATTGTTTGACTGTCTGTGGAGAAGCAAGCAAAAAGGCAAACTTGTTCTTCTGAGTAGCAAGGGAGCACGGGAGAGTGATTTTGTAAGTTGAATACAGCCATGAGCCCGAGCACAGCGCTGTAGGATGATGAGAAAGGAATTAGCTGTGCTTCTCGTCTCTATAATTAGCCTTTTGTTTACTTCATCATTAACCTGCTCATATTAAACAGTTATTACCTGGTGGGGGGAATGTAAAGAAAGAGTCCTCGTTACTCCAAAAATAATGAGCATTGCTGTAAAAGGGTGATGTCTGGATATTTCTCCCTATGATGTCTATGAAGACACAGCTTTATCCAGTTTTTGTTTGTTTTGTTTTGATTGGAATAAATCTGGTCTTGAGTGGATCAGACTAGCCTCTACTCCATAGAAAACTGAGAGAAGCAATGGTCCTCACTTCAAAATGAGAGTCCTGAAGACATTTGCTCTTCACTTCAGAATAAGAGTGCTGACACAGCAGAGAATCAGTTTGTTTTGTGAACTTGCAAAGTAGAAGTCAGCCTAGAGAAAAGGCAAACATGTTTGGCACACCAAATGTGACACAGAACAGGTTTTTATGCCCCTAATCACATTTCTCGGCCCTCTTTAGTTCTCATTGGCTGAATTATTGAGGAAGTTACAATCTATCTGCTGTCTGGTATTGTCCCCTTTCGGAATTTCTTATCTAAATGGTACAGGACACAAACCCCTCCTTTTCTGATGTGTGAGCTCAGTCAGTCAGGCAGACTACCTGTAACTTTTCAATCCTAGAACACACTGAAGATGCCTAGGGACGCAGACACCAGCCTCCAGGCAGAGGAAACAGGCCCAGTGCCTCTCCACCATCTCTGATGAGCCCTAAACACACCTCATTCTGAAAATGGACCACAATAATTGATTTCTTATATAGCCAAGGTTGACTTTGAACTCCTGGTCCTCCTACCTCTATCAACCCACGGCTGGGATTACAGGTGTACACCTTAAAAGGCTCATAATTTTAGGATGTGTTTTTCTGCTTCTCGAATGTAGTTAAATAAAAATCCCAGACACCCCTTGTTGTACTGGGCCTGAACAGAGCAGAGTCAAAAAAAATAAAAAACTCGTGTTAACTTGTGGTCCCTAGACGGAAACTAAGCTATCTCTTGACCTCCTAGGAAATCAAGAGGAACCTGAGCCAATGGCCAGCTTCCCCAAAGACCAGCTTTTGTTCGTTTTCTATCTTGTATGAATTCTGCAACAATTCCATATAAATATCAGTGTATCTATGTGGTGGTATCCACCCCAACTCCCCATTCGCACTCCCTGCAGGCAAAAGGCAGAAAATAAAGTTCATGACCCTTAATCCTTACACACAAAAGGGGACACACACACACACACACACACACACACACACACGCTTGCTTGCTTGCTTGCTTGCTTGCTTGCCCCAACTCTATCTATAGGAAGAGTAACTTAGAAAGAACCAGTTTCCCCTTCCGTGGTTCCGCGGGTTTCAGCCATTCTCTGTTTACAAAACTAGCCTCCTCCTGCTTGGCTAGTTAGAATATTTTGTGTGGTGGAATGAAGTGTCCCCTGTTCGCGGATAGAAAACAAAGCCTGAAGCGATGTCCTTTCTGGTTAGTAGCTGCACAGCGTGCGTTGCATCTTAGGACAGCCTCCTCCAACCCTCTACGGCGAAGTAGGCGGGGAGTAACAAGCCTGCCGGGAATTCCTGCAGAAACTTCGGTAAGAAACTCGCAAGACAGGCTGGGTGCCATCCTCACTCAGCCTGCAAAACGGGACACCTGCCGGTAACCTCGAACTCTACCCTGGGTGCTGATTACTTACTCCTCATCGGAACCCCAGAACTGGATTTCTTGTTTGGTTTACAGAAAATGATACTGAGAGCCCCGCCCCCACCCACGGCAGGCGACGCGGGGCGGCCCTAGGTGAATCCCCGCCGGTGGCACCGCCGGAGGCTCCGCCTCTCTGGGCCGCCGCCCTAGTCACCTGCCGCCCCGGTGCCTGGCGGCGGGTGGCGGGGACCCCCCCGGGACCGAAATGTGGCGAGCTGGCCGGTGGGCGCCCCTACTCCTGTTTCTGTTGCAGAGCTCCCTAGGTAAGCATGGACCGCGGGGATCGCGAAGGTGTGCCACCCACCCGAAGAGGGGACTTGGTGCCGGGCCTCAGGGACCTTGTGCACTCGCCGCGCGCGGGTTTGCTTGGTACCAGAGTGAAACAATCCTGAGCTTGGACTGACTTTCCTGGACAGAAGGATCTGGGTTTCCTTATTCCAGGCAGGGCCGGGAGACCGAGGCACAGACACCGGGGAAGCTTGTTGACTGAATCCCAGCGTGCGCACTTGATTGACCCTTATAAGTAGGGGACATTTAGGAGCTGCCCGGGACCCAGCTCTGGTTGATCTGGTTCCTGCTAGGAGACTCTTTAACGGGGGGCCCCCGCCCCGCGTCGTCTCTGTGTCTCTCATCTGGTAAATAAGACAGCGGGGCACAAAATACCAGAGGCCAGGACCCAAGCAGGGAACCCCAACTTTCCACTCATCAACTGCCTTAGGGAGGAGAACCGTCTAGGGAGCCATGGGCATGCTTCAGAGTCTTAGACGCAGTCAGAGGGGCTGGAAGGGTTCTCAGACCGGAAAAACAATCATAAAAGCCCATATTATTTCTGGTTGCTTCTTTGTCCTGGGCACTGTGTTCTCGTTAAGGTTTTCAGCCCAGTTGCCTTAAGAGACCGACAGTCATCATTTTTAGGTGAGGGAAACTGAGGCTCAGAGCACTTCAGAGGTTGTCTAAGAAGTACCCCAGATGGGCACACACAGGGCAGAGGAACAAGGCTGAGCCTTGGCCCAAGCAACCTCACAAACAACTCTGTAGCGGTGTTTTTGAGTTAATGAGGGTCTTGGGGGTGGGGTTGGTGTTCCATCCCCAACACAAACCGGTTAACATTGATCTCTAAGCTCAGTGCCTCTTCCTTGATGGGTGTAGGTGACACCTGCCCTGAGGGGTAGTCTGTCCTGAGGACTGAATGACATTTTAGACAGTGCTACAGTACTCCCTGGAACCCTTGAAGACTCTGAAGTGTGGCTACTCTAAACTGACTTTTTCCATGTGGCCAAGCTCAAACTTTGGGCTTGCCCTGCTCATGGATGGCTTAGAACTAAGGGACTTATGCGCAGAGTGGCCTCTTGCTAGGCAAACTGGGAGCTGGGTTTAACAACAGTGTCTCCATCATGCACCTTCAGGGCACAGGACAGGCTAGAAATAGACACCCACATCTGAGTCAAAAATCCCTGAGGTGAGGAGGCAGCCCTGACGTGGTCTTGAGCTGAAAGATGTCATGTAGACCTGGGTTTATCTTGCCTGGTACCTAAAATGTGTGGGTCTTCATGGTGACCCAGGTGACTGAATTCTCCCTGTGACCATGAGCTCAAATGGGGCAGGAGATGGAACCATTTTCTTCTGTTCCCTGGTACACGGAGGAACCTAGAAAGCATAGGTTAAAAGTGGTCAGGTGCGGCTGTTCATGCTGTAATCCTAGCACCCAAGGGGCTGACTCATGAGGATCACTGCACAGTTGAGCTAGCCTAGAACAGAGTGAGCCGTTTGTCTCTACCATAGTCAAAAGGGGATTGGCAAGATGGCTCCCAGCGTAAGCGTTCCTGACATTCAACTGCCAGAATCTACATACTGGAAGGAAAGAATCAATGTCTGCAAACTGACCTTTCACTTCCACATGTACACCATAGCATGTATCAGACACACGATAAATAGACGTAAAAGGTGATCAAGCCAGGTGGTGGTGGCACATGTCTTTAATCCAGCACTAGGGAGGCAGAGGCAGGTGGATCTCTGAGTTCGAGGCCAGAACTACACAGCTACACAAAGAGACAAACAAAACAAAACGAAAAATCTGTTTTTAAAAGATACACAGAATAAGACTGAGCCCCAGGAGAAACTGGAAGAGGAGGTCAGCTCAAAGCTCAGACCCGAGTCGGCTGGATCCAGATCTAGATCTAAGAGGCCCTTGGTTTCCCCACCTGTCCTAGGAAGCTCCTTGAACACTCACAAAGTGCTCACCTCAGCTAACCGGAAGTTACAACCAGATACAAAGGGTCTGATGTTACTTTGTTGCCATCATGAGTCTAGAGGTAGCAAGGCAGGCTACCTGGAGGAAGTGGCATTTGAGTAGAATCTTTTAAAGATTAGATGGTGAACTCCAGGCAACCTGAGACACCCAGGTTTAAAGACAGCTAAACGATGGTACCGACAGCTTTGCGAGACTATGAGGGGCTGCCGGAGATGTCAGGCAGGTGGTCAGGTCACCTGGACAGGTTATCAGACACCTGGATGCAGAGTGTCAAGTTTATTCTTAAGGCAAGGAGAGGACAGGAAGACGGCATGGAGCAAGCAGCTGAGGTAATTAGTAGTACAGCTAGTTCTCTGTGAAAGAAGCAGTGGACAGAGGCCAGGCAAAGGTAGCCAGGGAACATGTCACAGAGAGACAGTGCCATCAAAGGAATGTGAGGGAAACAAGAGGATGGCCAGATGTTGAGAACACCATGTGTAAAGGCTGAGAGCAGAGAGCCAACCACAGTGCTCCCCAAAGAGCCACCGGCCGGCCAGTATGGCTGGGAAGGAGGAAGAACGGGGAGGAGGGACGAGTCATACCGGGAATCCTCTTGGAGGTTCTGGTAAAGGCGTCTGAGTTTCCCTGGAGTAGGAAAGATGGAAACCTGGAAAGGGTTAAGCAGGAGGCAGATATGATGTAACTTTCACTTTAACCCTTGCCTTTGTGCAGAGGGTGGACTGAGAACCCACAGGTAACCTAGGATTCCAGCAGTAGCCTGTCAACCCGTCCTGGTCCAGGTCCTGGTCCTCAGTAGGCACCGCAAGGGAGATGACCATGGTGGTTCTAATGTAGTTTTTATGGTGAATTAATTCCGTTTTCATTGCTATGCCAAAATTCTGGTAGAAGCAACATAAAGGAGGAAAGACGGGTTGGGACTCAGGGTTTCAGAGGTTCTAGGACCAGTGTGCTGAGAAAGGCAAGGCAGAGTGGCTTTACTCTACAGAAGCCGGAGTGTATGGTAAGGGTTGCTCACCCGGGCTGGACCCAAAGCAGAGAGATGGACTGGAACAAGGGCTTGTATAGAATGCTCAAAGGTTCACCCTATCCCACCTCCTACAGGCACCATAACTTTCAAAATGGCACTCAGAGCTGCGGACCAACCATTCAAAACATGAGACTGTGGGAGGCATTTCAAGTTGAAACCAGGACGCACAGGATACTTGTTGTACCTGGCAGAGTGCCTAGGACCCAGTTGTCCAGTCCACAACCAGGTGTTCCTTACAGAAGAAATCTGTTTAACCTGGCAAGTCTTCTGTGATTCTCATCTGACTGACAGACACTGGGGTCACAGGGAAGACCTCTACACATGTGCCATGGCATGCACACACACATACATTGTCACACACACAAAAACACACATGTACATGCACACACAGTACACTAATAATAAATTCAAAGTTTAAAAACATAACAAGGAAAATAGAATGCTTTCTCCAAGAATCTTCTGGAATCCAGAAACGGTATAGGGCCATTCATTGGCTCCTGGCCCATGGCAATCAGGTGGAACCCACCCTCAGGTGCCAGAGTTCATAGAACCTGCCCCCGTGACACAGGTGGGACACTGAGGCTTGGGGACAGGAAGAGGCTGCCATACAGTAGCTGGCAGATGCTGTTTCCTCACAGGTGCCAAGGAAGTGAACACCTGTCATGCCTCTCATTCTTCAGCTATTTGTACCCATGCCAAGCTCAACCAAGAGCTCCAGGCTTTATGACCTCTTCTCTCCCACAGGAAGGCCCCGTCCAGCCCCACCCAGAAATGTGACACTGCTCTCCCAGAACTTCACTGTTTACCTGACATGGCTCCCAGGCCTTGATAGCCCCCCAAACGTGACCTATTTCGTGACCTACCAAAGGTATAGGGGAGCCTCTGTGCTGGCGGGTGGGGAGATGGAGGGGTGGATGAGGAACGGAGGCCCTTCCCTGGGCTGTCTGCATTCCATGTGGTCAGCATTCAGAAGTTCTCTAGGTCACTGGAAGGGTTGTGGCAAGTCCTTGAGAAGGGGCTTTTTTTTTTTATTCACTTTACAACGAGATTGATACCTCCCAAGGGAGGAGGGGCTTTTGATGGGGGTTAGAGGTGGTGGGAGAGACTCGACGGAGAGCCACAGGTGACAGGCTTGCTGGAGATAGGGTGAGTCTCTGTGGAAAGTTGGAGTAGGGTCCAAGTGGAGCTGTGAGAGCCAAGATACCAGGGGACAGAAATGCTTGGGGTCTGTATTAGTCACTTTTCTGTTGCTGTGACAAAATACCACGACCAAGACAACTTATAGAAGAAAGAGTTTTTTATAGGTCCAGAACCCACAACAGAGGAAGCAATGGCAGTTTAAGCGGCTGGAATAGAAAGCTGTAGAATTACATCTTCAACAGAACCTGAAGAGAGGCTAGAAACTTTCAAAGCCCCACCCCAGGGATGTCCTTCCACCAGCAAGGCAGCAACACCTCCCCCAGAGAGCACCACCCACTGGGGACCAAGTGTTCAAATGCCTGAGCCAATGAAGGTCATTTTTTACTCAAACCATCAAAAAGATTGTTCTAGCCAATGGGTGAGGGTGAAGAAGTGGCCAAGGGTCTGGTCTTGTTTCCTGTAGAGCCTGGGCATTGAGCTGGACAGAGCTACAGGGTTCTTATGATCTTGGAAGCCCAGGCTGCCACTACTAGTCTGGAGGAATCTTAAAAGGGAAGCCTGTCTGCCATCTTCCAGTCATGATCAGCTACACCCAACTTAAGTCCATTTCTTTCCTCCTTCTCTTCCTTCCTTCTTTCTCCCAGTGGTGGGAATCAAACCCAGGAGCTTCATGCATGGTAGGCAAGCTCGGGACCACTGAGCTACACAACCACCCAGAGGAAGGTTTTAAAGACCAGATTCTGTGTTGTGGCTGTGCTGGCCTCTACCAAGCTGTTGCTTTAGGTCTTCTTGGCAAACAGTGGTATCGATCATGGACACACACGTGTGTAATTGCTCAGAGTGACTGATGCATTCACCCAACCTGGCACTTTCCACCTACATTTGATTCTTTGGGATTTGTGCTCAATTTCTCTTGTCGACCGTGTTTACACTACAGTCTTAGTTGTCGCGGCATGGGAGAGGATAGCCTTTGAAGAACCTATGATTATCCGTTACTCATTTCCCTTATCCTAACGTCTGTAGGAGAGTCTCCAATACATGTTCCCTTTGCTCTAGAACAGAGGTTCTCAACCTTCCTAATGCTGCAGCCCTGTAATCCAGTTCCTCATGTTGTGGTGACCCCCAACCATAAAATTATCTCTGCCGCTGCTTCATAACTCTAATTTTGCTACTGTTATAAATTGTAATGTAAATATTTTCGTCTTAGGCAACCCCTGTGAAAGGGTCTTTCGATATGCCCCGCCAAAGGGTCAAGATCCACAGGTTGAGAACCACTACTACTCTAGACTCTGCTAATTTTGCAGAACTGTGCTGATATCTGTCACTGAATCTGAGCTGACATCTTTAGGTGCTCAAAGTCGTGCTCAAAGTCTCTAGTAGAGCCTGGCTCCTAGTCTTTTTATTTCAGGAAAATTTTCTTAGTCATTTGCATAAGGTCCTGTTCCCCAAACAGGAAATGGTTCTGTGTAGTGCACCCCTTTTCTACCTGGCTGGTTTTACTTAGCACCTCTCTGGAATCCACCCATGTTGTCACAAGTGTTCATTCATTTCTTCTTCATTACCGAGTAGTATTCCAGTCATGACCAGACTTTTATGTGTTTCTCCATTTTCCCCTCAGTGAATTTTTGGGCTGTTTCCAGGTTTGGAGCGTGTATCAGTTTGCAATGGCTGTTACACGCTCTTTTCAGTATTCTCCCAAACTCGTGTTCTCACAAAGGCATTCACTGTGTCTCATTAACCCCAAAGGTCTTTCCTTACTCCAGCCTTCACTGTAAGTCCAAAGTTTCATCTATTATCTAAATCAGGGGTGGGTGTGACTTAGACTGTGACTCACATCGAGACAAAATTGCTCTCCTTCAGTGGACCTCCGAAACTGGAGGAAGCCATGTGCTTTTACACTGAAACAGCAGCACAGGGATGTGAGAGACATGTCCACTCCCAGAGGGAAAGTCAGGAGAGAAACAGATGCCAGTCAATCCTGGAGGGGCAGCTTCCAGTAAGATGTTTTATTTTACAGACTTTCTTTCTCTTTCTTTCTTTCTTTCTTTCTTTCTTTCTTTCTTTCTTTCTTTCTTTCTTTCTTTCTTTCAAGATTTAATGATTTATTTTGTATGAGTACACTATCACTGTCCTCAGACACATCAGAAGAAGGCAGTGGGTCCCATTACAGATGGTTGTGAGCCACCATGTGATTTCTGGGAATTGAACTCAGGACCTCTGGAAGAACAGTCAGTCAGTGCTGTTAACTGCTGAGCCATCTCACCAGCACCCAGACTTTCTTTCTAAAGATTCCTTGCTTGAGGTTGATGACATATGCCTTTAATCCCAGCGCTTAGAAAGCAGAGGCAGGTAGATCACTGTGAGTTCAAAGCCAGCCTGGTCTATATAGGTAGTTCCATCTAAAAACCAAAAACAAAACAAAACAACAACAGCAACAACAACAAAAACCCAAGCCAAGCAATGGTGGCACACACCTTTAATGCCAGCACTTGGAAGGCAGAGGCAGGCAGATCTCTGCAAGTTTGAAACCAGCCTGGTCTACAGAGTGAGTTCATGACAGCCAGGCCTATACAGAGAAACCCTGTCTCAAAACCAAACCAAAACAAAAAAGCAAAACAACAAAGTGTGTGTGTGTGTGTGTGTGTGTGTGTGTGTGTGTGTGTGTACTACTACTATTATGCTACTCAAATTGATCCCAGCAGCTGCAGTGCTCTGTGCTACCCACCCCAATGTTCTGGGTTCCTGAATGAAATACACACACATAGCCTTTATATTTTGATATGCCTAAAACAGCTCAATGATTGGGCCACCTCCTAACCTCTGCATAACTAATCCACCTTCCTCTGATATTCCCAAGTCATTACTTATTAAAATCTATATTCCATCTTGGCTGCTCCAGACCCAGTCAGGCAGCCCTCTTGAGGCTGCTGTGTCTCCTACATGGAGGCTATGCCCTCTGTCTCACTCCTTCTCAGGCATGGCATCTTTCCTCTCCTCTCCCAGCATGGTGGATCCCCTTCTCCTTCCTCCGTCCATTTCCCAGAAATCCTTAAAGTCCCACCTCTGTCTGTCCTGCCCAGCCATTGGCTGCTATCAACTTTATTTACCAATCAAAACCAACTGGGGGCAAGGTCCCTCAGTGTCCTACATATGGACATGCGGATTCTCGTGCAATTTTGGGGACCCAAATTAACACAATTCAAGCAGCAGTAGACCAAACCCACTAGACTTATCACTTTTTGACCAGTTAAAAAGGCTCTTTCTCAGATAGACATTGAACACAATTATAACAATTTTGTAAATTATAAACTATAAAATACACTTATAATGTCCAGTCTATCATATTTGGCAATTTAGGTAAATTACTCTATCATCTGTCCTAACTTAAAGAGTTTACAATTCTATACCTGAGTTATATTCTGATTTTAACTTGCATTACTATCTGAAAACCATCCTTTCAAATCTACGACATATTCCTCAATGTTAAACAACTTAAGTCTGATTATGAGACAATAACTAGTCTTCAACCCCATCAGAGATCTGAGAATTACTTACTACCTGAATATATAGAAAACACAAAAAACATAGCTTCCAAAATTTAAACAATCTGCAGAGACACTTGACTGCCTGGACTGTCCCGTGTTCCTCAAAACATCAGAGCATTTGCTTCAGCCTTCTGGCCCAGGATCATCTGACAGGCCTTAAGTGAAGCAGAAACTATGAAGGTCTAGCTTACTCTGTCTTGGCCAAGCTCAGCTGTCGACTGTCGTGCATTGTGTGTCCTTTCCTGAGCAGTATTTTTTTGTCTGTAGATGAATTAGGGAGAATCTTGCCCAGTGGCCACCTTGCCACAACTGGACCAACTTCATATGGAGGTTACAATGTTCAATGTCTTCTTTGAACTGTGAAGGGGTGCTGTCAGGAGCAGATGTGCCTCCTTCTCAGAAGATCTATTAATAATGAAATAATTTTAAATGTTATATTCTGATGCTTTTGAAGACTAGCTATCTATATATAGTATATCTATATCTATGTAGTATCTGAAATGCTAAACCTTGCCGGGCAGTGGTGGCGCACACCTTTGATCCCAGCACTTGGGAGGCAGAGGCAGGCGGATTTCTGAGTTCAAGGCCAGCCTGGTCTACAGGGTGAGTTCCAGGACAGCCAGGGCTACACAGAGAAACCCTGTCTTGAAAAACAAAAAACAAAACGAAACAAAACAAAAATAAAGAAATGCTAAACCTTGACAACTCTTAGCTATTTACTATTTGAATAATATTGAAAACATTTTATCATAATTAAATCAGAACCTAATGTTACCATGAGTTTACTCTCTGGCCCTTAACTTGCATTACGTAATCATCCTAAACAGTCTGTAATAGCAGCTGTTAGAAGGACTGGGCCTAAGTCTTTTATTCTCAAATGATGTGCATAGGCACAATGCCTATCTCAGAGTAACAAAATTAATTTTGAATTTGTATCAACACACAAAGATTTATACCAATGGAAACTTTAAACCTGTATCAATATATAAATTCTATACCAATGTAAGAAAATATAACTTCAATTCTGCATCAAAATTTAGAGATTTCTACCAATGTAAGATTACAGCTGTAAAATGTTTTGTGTAAGAGTAAATTTAGTAATCCATCTCATATATCTAATGTCTTTTTTTTTTTTTTCGAGACAGGGTTTCTCTGTGTAGCCCTGGCTGTCCTGGAACTCACTCTGTAGACCAGGCTGGCCTCGAACTCAGAAATCCACCTGTCTCTGCCTCCCAAGTGCTGGGATCAAAGGCGTGCGCCACCACCGCCCGGCTAAAACTTTTGATATCTAATGTCTTATAATATTACTCTATCCCCCTTTTTCCTTTCAAGACTCTTCCCTTTACTTAAGAAAGAAAGGACAGAGAAGAGGGAAGAGAAGACAGAAATCCCCAAATCTAAGCTCTATTTAGTTTCCTCCCTGTCCAAAATTATACTCATTTCCAAATTATCCCTTAAAATAACAACCTATCTATAATTTATAAAATGACCATAACCAGACACCGAAACCAAGGAATAGGGATGATGACTTTCCATGGCTCCTTCCTGCTGAATAGGGGTGATGAATATATCTATAATTTTTAAGGGGTAAGGAGGGGTAGGAAAATTGGGAAAATTGGTTAGAGTTTTAAAAGCTAGCTTTAGCATTTGTTATCCAGTCTTTGTTTTTTTGTTTGTTTGTTTGTTTGTTTTTTGTTTTTTGGGGTTTTTGTTTGTTTGTTTGTTTTTCAAGACAGGGTTTCTCTGTGTAGCCCTGGCTGTCCTGGAACTCACTCTGTAGACCAGGCTGGCCTCAAACTCAGAAATCCACCTGTCTCTGCCTCCCAAGTGCTGGGATAAAGGCGTGCGCCACCACCGCCCGGCTGTTATCCAGTCTTTGTATGCTTAGAAAGTTCAGGGTTTGACTGAAGTTCTGACTGGATCCGTCTGAAAGGCTGGATGAACCAAGGTCATTGGGAATCAGTAGCTATTTCTGAAGCTGTTCTGGGAGCGAGTTTCTAGCTTCAGGAGGAAGGGAGCTGGACTGGCAGGTCATGTCAGCGTTCCCGAGGATGAATCTTGTCAGAGCTGCATCTTGGTGTTTCATTCTGCAATGTATGAATCTTATGACCAAAATTTTAGTATTATAGAGGTATTTGTATGAATTGTGCAAGGTGCACAGATCAGTTAAAGATAAATTTCCACTCCTTGTTTGAGCAAGTGAAAGACAGCTGTCTTTTTTATGAGTTAATTTGATCAATAACCAGTTGTAATAAATCTTCATTCATGCCACATGAAGGATGACATGATGGATCTTAAGGATTCCATAACCTTAATTCCATAACAAAATTTACTGGCTAATTTTAGCTGAAGTTTTAGCTAGAGACATTTTTATGTCTAAGCCAGTTTCAGGGCTGTTCTCCTGTGGAGGGATTAGCATAACATGTTACCTGTCCTGTTCCATCTTGAATTTTTCTTTTCTATCTGTAGTTCAAAATCCTTAGTGGGTCATCCCCTATCATATCTGATCCATATTACTTTGGAAGTGGTCCAAAGCCTTTTCTTCTCTCCTGTTAACACAAATACAGGGTCTCTCTCCCAAAATAGCATGTCCTTGGTCCAGCAATCCAAAAATCATCAAAAATATAGATTGATTCAACTTAGACGCCTCCTTTTTCTTTAGGCCTGGTTTATTTTGACCTCTCTCACAGAGGATTTATAATACCATATTTATACCACAAAAGATTTATAACCACTTGTATTTTGATAATTAACACAACTGAAAGCAATGAAAGAAACCTTAAACAATTATTATCCGTTGAGACTGAGCTCCTTCCCTCTCTCCTGTTTTTGTTCCCTTTTTTTTTTCTTCTGAGATCAAAGGCCAACATTTATTTTATCTGTTGAAACAGGGCTCCTTCCCCAAGATTAAAGGAGTGCGCCACCACCTCCCAACTGCCCGTTTGTTTTTTTGTTGGGTTTTTGTTTTAGAGACAGGGTCTCATTATGCAGACCGGGTTGGCCTCAAACTCACAGAGATCATCAGCCTGTGCGTGTGCTGCGATTAAAGCCACATATGCCATTCCTAGCCTCTACGTCCATCTTTACATGTGTTCTAGGGATCGCACAGAGGTGGCCAGGGTTGTGTGGTACACGCCTTTACCCGTGAAACCAACTGGCCAACTCCCAGGATAACCTCTTAAAATTATAAGTTAAATCACATCAGTGGACCTCAGCCTGTTCATGGTGCTCTAACAGAGTACCTCAGTCTGGGTGATTTAGAGGTGGTAACTATTTCTCCTATTTCTGAGGGCTAGGGAGCCAAAGTCATGACATGAGCAGATCTGGTGCCTGGAGAAGGACACTCCTAAGAGTATGCCTTTTCATGGTGTCCTCGCAAGGCTGAGAGGCCAACCCTATGACCTCATGTGAGAAAGAGACAGAGCATCCGAGCAGCTCTCTAAGCCATCCTTATGAACCATGTTGTCCTCATGACTTAATAACCAGAAAGTTGGGTTTCAGTTCCAACATTTGTTTGGAGGAACATATGCTTTCAAACCATAGTGGTCTCCACTAAGTGTCTGGTGGCTACCCATCACACTTGGGATAAATTCACATCCTAACCAAGACCCAACATGACACCACCTCCAAGTCCCCCTCACCCCTATCCTCTGGCCTCACCCTCCCTTACCTACTGGGCTTTGGCTCTCCGGCCTTCTTGCATTTTTTTCCTGGATATGCCCAACTCCTTTCCATCTGTCCCAGTGTGCTTTCTTTCCATTTCTACGATAAAAACCATGGCCAAAAGCAACTTGAGAAGGAAAGGGTATTTTTGGCTTACATGTCCAGCTCACAGCTGATCTTTGAGGGAAGTCTGGACAGGAACTCAAAGCAGGACAGAAACCTGGAAGCAGGAACTGAAGCAGAGACCATGGAGGAGTGCTGCTTACTGGCTCGCACTTCATTGCTTGCTCAGTCTGCTTTCTTATACAACTCAGGGCCACTTGCTGAGGAGTGGCGCTGCCCACAGTGGGCTTTTCTCCCCCGTATCAGTCACTGGTCAAGAAAATGCTGTCTACAGGCCAATCTGATGGAGGCATTTTCTCCATTGAAGTTCCCTCTTCCTGGATGATCCTGGCTTGTACTAAGTAGACAAAAACTACCCAGCACACCATCCCAGGCCTTCATTCTTTTGCTTTCCCACTGCATCTCCATCACCCAGTTTCCTCTTCTTCCTCACTGGGGAGTTCCCTCTCTGGCCTTTTTTGAGCCTCCCTTTGGAAGTGGTGGCTCCGTTTTTATTAGTTTTATCACTGCATCTACTAGCTGCTGGGTTTGTCTTGTGGGCGTGACAACTGTTCCTTGTTCCCTCCCATCAGCTATGAGTACCTTGGGGAGGCAGGACCTCATTTGTCATGCTTTGCTGATTCACTGGTACCTGGAATAATGCCTGGATATAGATAACTTCTTTGAGCTCTATGCTGTGAGGATGTTGCAGTCCCATGAAGCCCTATGGGTTCCCCTCTGATACCTGCTCAGCACCAATTACGGCTTCTGGCATATAACAGATTGTCAGTCTATATATTCCTGAAGAAATCAACAGAAAATATCCACTAAGATTGGTGACGGTGGTTCTATGAAACCCTTGTGAGGAGAACTGCATATAGGAGACTGGGTTTGAGGGGAAGCGCCCCATGGAAGGACCCAGAGATCTTGAGGAAAGAGGTGGGATGCCCCTCCACACTTGTCTGCCAATGGCTGCCTGGCTGAGCAGATGGACAAGCAGATGGACCAATGGCATCTGGCTGAAGGGTGGGGTTTATATTTGGGAGGTCCTCTAACCATGGTCCACCCTCTTCTGGTCCCCCAGCCCCTACCCCAGGTATACCAAACCCTATTGGCGAAATGTGAAGCACTGTGCAGGCATCAAGGCTCTGGTGTGTCCCCTGATGATGTGCCTGAAGAAACTGGACCTGTACAACAAGTTCAAAGGACGAGTACAGGCAGCTTCTGCACATGGCAGGTCCCGATGGGTGGAATCCGGGTACCTGGAATACCTTTTTGACGGTAAGTCTGGAGACTAAAGAAACACTTGCTACTCTTGCAGAGGACCAGCCTTTGGTTCCCGGTACCCATGTCAGGTGGTCCACAACAGACTATAACTCCAGTTCTAGGGGATTTGACACTTCTTGCACTCACATATACACATACATACATACATACATACATACTACACACACACACATACAAAATAAATATTGGAAGTAGGCTCGTTTAATGAAGAGGCTGACTGAGAACACTGGACAGCAAAACAATTGTGTGTGTGCTAATATGTGCGAATATGTGTTCATGTGTGTGCACATGTATGCATGTGTGCTTGCAGGGGTCATTCCTCAGGCACATCCCACCTTTTTTTTCCACAAAGAATCTCTTACTGACCTGGAACTTACCAGATAGGCCAGACTGGCTTTTCCAGGCAAGAGATCCAAGGAGCTCAACCGCCCCTCTGCCTGGATCTCACCATAGACGTCCAGGGCAGGATGGATTATGAACTCACTCAGATTGCCAGGCTGCGGTCCCTGATCCCTCCTTTCCTATCAGCTAGGAGCCTCTCCAAGCTGCTGAGAATACCCGTGTTTCTCCTCATGCGCCCCTTTCCTCAAACCAGAGGTGACACAACTGGGTTCCTGTCACATCTGGCATCTCATCACCCTGTCCTCAAGGCTCTGACCCATCTGCATGGCCCAAGGGTAAACTCGCCATTTTATGGCTCTAAATCTTAACTGAAATTCGTTTATCCACTCAACAATGACACAGCAGGCTGGCCAAATCCAGGGACCCCGATGGAACATCCTTGGTGGGGGTTCTGCCTACCGTGGGATTTCTTCTCAGCCCCCAAATTCACATCTTTTGCAAGCACAGAATTCACTTGCCCTCATGTCAAGGTCCCCCAAAGTTGCCTGTTATTACAACATCAACTCAAGTTCCAAGATTTCCCCAGCAGTGTCTGAAGCAGAGTGTCAGGTAGCTTAGGGATGGGAGTCCACTCAGTATGGCTTCTGGGCACACCTATGAGCTGGTGATGCTGAAGGAAACCATCTCTGTTCCCTGTATAAGATGTGGGAGGAGAAGGTAATAAAAATTGAGGAGACCAGGGCTTTGGTCCAGATTAGCTGTAAAATCCAGCCGGGCAAACAAATGCCATTCAGGTTGACATTCTGGGACAATTCTCCTTGACTCCCAGAAAAGATCTTTGAGCTCCTGCTTCTAGGAGTTTCTTCTTCCAAGACAGGCTTCCTCTTCCACCATGGGCCACAAGCACCTGTGGCCAAGGAGTTTTACCAGCCTCTACCTTGTCAGTGGAAGTGTGCTCAGCAGCTTTCTTTGATCTTATACACAAAAGACCAGATGTCAATGTTTCTGTAGATCAATGAGTTCTCAAGAATTATGGGGTCTCCTGTGATTGCTTGGAGAGCCACCCCTGGGGGACACCTGGTGTTATGTGTAGGTACATTGTGCTCGGTTGCTTTCCTGGACATCTTTGACTAACCCATCTCCCTACCCACATCTTTCGTTTTGGGACAGCAAGAGACAGAGCCTAAGTTTTGTGAGGTTACTATTTGGTGCTCACAGTCCCTCATGACCACCCTTCCTCACTCAGACTTGACAAAATCAGAAGGATCCAGACTCCCGTCTAACAGCCACCCACTGCTAACAGGATATCCTGACAAGGTATAGCTTCTAGGACCTTAGTGATTCTCAACCAGTGGGGTCGCATATCAGATATCCTGCATATCAGACATGTTTATTACAATTCAAAATTACAGTTATGAAGTAGCAACAAAACTAATTTTTATGTTGGTCACTACAGCATGAAGAACTGTATTAAAGGGTCACAGCATTAAGAAGGTTGAGAATCACTGGTCTAGGGTCTTACTTTATTTTTTTAAAATGGAGTTGGTGAAGGCTTGGGAGAGAGCTGAGAAGTCAAATGCTTCAGTGAGCCCCAGGCTCGGTGAGAGACCCTGACTTAAAACATACTGTGGAGTTCAGTGGAAGATGACAGCATACACTGACCTCTGACCTCTGCACTGGCACTCACAGGCATGCGCACCCACACATGCACACACGTAGCCGGACTGTGATGCTTCCCTCCCAGGGCTAGTGGGAGATATAAGAGCTATAAGGAGCTTGCAGCGCACATGATATTTGAAAAATGAGATGTTCTCTGGACTGGACAGAGCCGGAAGAATAGACTGGTCCAATTCTGTTTCTGACAGTGGAGCTAGCCCCACCCACCCTGGTGCTCACCCAGATGGAGAAGGTCCTAAGGGTCAACGCTACCTACCAGCTGCCGCCTTGCATGCCGTCGCTGGAACTGAAGTACCAGGTGGAATTCTGGAAGGAGGGCCTGGGAAGCAAGGTAGGAAAGCCTGTCTTCTCCCTGCTTCAACACTGCCTTGCGTGCTTTCCTCCAAGAGGCCTTCCATGGTTTTCTGACTCCAAGCAGCCCTGGATGGTGTGCAACACCCACGGCCTGTGCAGCTTCCCATGCAGCTGGAGTGTTCTCCACAGGAGATGAAGCACGAGGAGCTCTGACGCACGCACGGGGCGCTCTGACACACGAGGCCTCGACTGTAAATTGTTTTCAACCTCATTTTGAAAATTATGAGCCTTACCTCTGGGACAGGGCACAAGGCGGAGGATGTGTGCACTTGAGTGTGCCGGTGAGTGTGTGTGTGTGTGTGTGTGTGTGTGTGTGTGTGTGTCCATATAGCAGCTGCAAGGTTCCTTTATCAGATGCTTCCACTTTTTTTTTTTTTTGACAGAGTCTCACCATGCAGTCCTGGCTGGCCCAGAACTCATTGTGTAGACCAGGCTGGCCTCAAATTCAAAAAAAGATCTCAATGCTCGGACTGATGCTCCACCGTATCTTTTGAGGCAGCGTCTCTTAGTGAACCAGGCGCTCTAGGTTAAGTTAGTCTAACTGGCCAGCAAGCCCGGAGAGTATGACCCTGCCTCTGCCTCCTTTGCAATGGGACTACAGGCGTGCCCATCTTTTGTTATGCAGGTGCCAGGGATAGAACTCGGGTCCTCACGCTTGCGCAGAAAGCACTTCACTGACTCTCTCCTCAGCTCTTCCTCCTGCACACCTCCAGTAAAAGTTGGACTGAAGTAGTTTAGACTGCAGGAAGTTGAGTCACCAGATTCATTACAGAAAGTCCTGAAAGTCCACATGAGCTCCAAGCAAAGAAAAAGCCCAGAGCTGTCGATGAATGGCTCTATGCACGCCCAGCTTCAGACCTGTGTCTAGCATACAGGAGGAGCAGGCGTGAATACTCACTCATGTATGGCAGATGAGAACACCGTCAGTATGTTTGCCACTGTGGCTCCAGGGTCTGAGCTCTGCGGCTGTGACTCAAAAGTAGCCACTTGGGCTGGTGAGATGGCTCAGTGGTTAAGAGCACTGACTGCTCTTCCAGAGGTCATGAGTTCAAATCCCAGCAACCACATGGTGGCTCACAACCATCTGCAATGATATCTGATGCCCTCTTCTGGGGTGTCTGAAGACAGCTACAGTGTACTTACATATAATAAATAAATAGTTTAAAAAAAAAAAGTAGCCACTTGTGGATGACACAGACAAAAGTGCATCTTGCAGGATTCCTGTTTATGAAATCAGGCCGTGGGGTAGAATTGGCATAGCAGGGGCTCTTACTCATTCACATTCACACCTCTGATCCTAGGGGTGTGAATATAAGGTGCTTTCTGCCTTCCAGAATCACGTGACTATTAAAAGCATCACACTGTACCCCATCAACACATACAAGTTGTTCAAAACTGGGTCTCATTATGTAGTCCAGGTTAGCCCAGACTCAATCCCCTTGCCTCAGCCTCCTGAGTGAATGTTAGAATCACAGGCACATGCTACCATGCTCGGATTAAATATGAACAATCTTTGTAAGTCAGTCAGAAGTAAATATCCTGAACCAGTACCGTCCAACAGAAACGAGCCATGCATGCTGTTTCAGTTTTTAAAATTACATGTATTTATTTTGGTGTGTAACTGTGGGGGCGGGGCAGGCATGTGTGTCACAGCCTGCTTCTGGTGGTCAGAGGTCAACTTTGTGACATTGGCTCTCTCCTCCACTTCCTGGTTCTTAGGGGCTGAACTCAGGTCACCAGGCTTGGCAGCAAGCGACTTCACTAAAGTCATCTCCTGGGGACTAAGTGACCCCGAGTCATTTGACATAGGATTTCCTAAAGCCCAGGCTGGCCTTGAACTTGTTATGTAGCCAAGAATGACCTTGAACCCCCATCCTCCTGCCTCCACCTCCTAAGTGTGGGTATTATAGGCATGAACCACATGGCTCGACTTTAGTATTTTGTCTGGAACTAGAGATCTTCCTTCTTTTATCCCATAGCATATTGTCGTGTCAACCCCGGAAATAATACAACCACGGAGCTGTTTTGTCGCCTTCTCCTCCATCTCTGGAAACTGATAAGCATTTTGTACTCGGGGCATATCTCCATTAGCAGTAGTCACCCACCCCTGCCTTGTACTGCTCTGGGCAGCTGGGGCAACACTGAGCCTGAGGTGACTGAATGACCCTCATCCCCAGTGGTCTGGGAGGCCCGAGGGCTGGAAACCTATAGAAACCCCTCTTCAAGTGGGGACCCTCCCAGGCCTTGGTGAGCTACATGGGAGTGACCCAAAGTAGCAGGCTGCTTTTGAACCCAACGGTCTGCACAAGGAGATACGGCTGAGAAGAAACCGGGTTGTAGAAAATGCCCTTAGTGCTTACTCTACAATATAAGAGAAATAAAAGCTCTGTGTCACCTGGCCACCTCACCACGGATATTCACCAGCTCTGCGCATGCTCATCCATCAGCTCTGCGCATGCTCATTGCCTCTTGCTTCTCCAAACAGACCCTGTTTCCTGGCACTCCATACGACCAGCCAGTGCAGATTCCTCTCCAGCAAGGTGCTAATGGACGCTACTGCCTCAGCGCCAGAACCGTCTATACCTTAATTGACATTAAGTACAGCCTGTTCTCTGAGCCCAGCTGCATCTTCCTAGAGGCTCCAGGTGGGTGCAAAGCAGCACTAGTGTGAGGACTTCCCCTCCCTGCCACCCCCACTGCCACCACCCTGGGACACCAGAAGTTTCATGATCGAATGGTCGAAAGTATAAACTGAGAGATAGCTTCACAGATGGAAATCCCAACTCTACCACAGGAACTGTGTGTCTTTGGGTAGTTTTCATAACCAATTTGAGCCTTGGCTTTCCACTAGAATGGCCTTAGTCTCCTACGAGTGAGCAGGACTGTGCCACCGGAAGTACTTGCTACACTGAGGGACTGGGGCCATTGTTCTGTTCTGTGTTCTTTCCTCCCTAGGGGCCAGCCGAGCTGTCTTGGCGATGCCCTTAATCTTGCTTCTACTGATAGCAGCGGCTGCAGCAGGTGTGGCATGGAAGAAAATGAAAGGGAACCCCTGGTTTCGGAGGGTGAAGACGCCCCAGGCACTGGTATGGCATATCTGGAGTGTCTAGAAGGCATGACGGGGTATATAGAAGTGAGGTGTTGAATAGCAGGAAGTAAGATTGAGTTTCCAGTGCTTCAGACAGAATACCGAACTGGTCCAGACTGTAGCATCGCTCTTCTTGTCTCTGTGTCTAGATCCCCACATCTCAGGATGAATGCCTTTAGCCCCAATTCCAACAGCAAACCTGCCCCCAGGGAGAACTACCTAAGTCCCTTTCTGTGGAGTCTCTTCACCTTCTGCTAAGGAAGTGTCAGGTGCAAAGAGGAGCACGCAGCCCTGAGACCCAGGAGAAGGGCTGGGAGGTGGTACAGATGGGACCATCTGTAAGCATCTTTTAAGGATGCAGATGCTTAGTTTACAACTTGACCAAGGCCAAGCATCCGCAGGCCAATCTCCGGGTGCTAACTCCTCTGTCAGATCCAGGAGCTAGCTGGGGAGGGGAGGGGTGTGGGGGCGGGGGGGAGGGGGGTGGGGGCATGGGGGCGGGGGAGGGAGGGGCCAAGAGAAGTCAGAGAGGAGCTGGACCACAGGTGGGGCTCTCTAAATACTTGGGGAGTGAGAGGGCTTTGAGGACAGACTCCCTGTGTGTCCCTGTGCCACAGCAGGGAGTAGTTTCAAAGGCCTGTAGAGCCTACAACACTCCTATCACCCACCCCACCCCCACCACACCCTCCACCCCCACGCTTGGCCCTGGTGTTTCCTGGAAACATCTCCCAAAGAAACAACTTCCACTTGAACTCATCTGGACTATTGCTGGGGGGTTGGGGGGGGGGAGATTCAACCGATCATGCTTCAAGAAGCCAAACTCACCTTCTCTCCCTGATTGTTACATCAGGACTTTTCTGAATACAGATACCGAGTGGCAGCCTTCCAGCCCAGTGGACCTGAGTTCTCAGATAACTTGATCCTCTGTCCCCAGAAGGAACTGACCATAAGGATCAGACCAGTCCCTCAGGTCAGAGAGCCAGCCACGCTACAGGTGGGACCAGAAAAAGACAGCACTGAGGATGAAGATGAGGACACAGATGACGGTGACAGCATCCAGCCCTACCTGGAACGGCCCCTTTTCATCAGGGAGAAGCTCCAGGCTATGGAGCACTCAGAGGCAGACGAATCTGGGGTGGATTCAGGGGGTCTTTGGACATCCCCACTTGGGAGTGAAGGCTCCTCTGCATGGGACTCTTCAGACAGGAGCTGGTCCAGCACAGGAGACTCGTCGTATAAGGATGAAGCTGGATCTTCCAGCTGTTTGGACCAGAAGGAGCCGGACCAGGAGCCTCTGCCATGCCTGGAATTTTCTGAGGACTTGGGCACTGTGGAAGAGATTCTGAAAGATGACCTTTCTGGGTGGAGAATTTGGGGTTCCTTATCCCCAAAGAGAGATCTGGCTGTGGAGCCCCCAGTTTCTCTTCAGACACTGACTTTCTGCTGGGACAGCAATCCTGAGGAACAGGAAGAGGAAGAGGAGGAAGAGGAAGAGGAGGAAGACTGGGAACCAGAACCTAAGGATAGCAACGCCGGCTATTGGGGCACTTCAAGCCTCCAGAGGACAGAGGTCAGGCCTGGGGTGCTGGGAGATTACATGGTCAGGTGAGCTGGCCCTGATGGTCCATCCATGCTCTCTCTACTGCACTTGCCTGGACCAGAGACACCTCCAAGAGTCATGTCCCTTTGAGTGGTAGCCGAGGTCCTGGCTGTTCTTTATGGATCTTTATGGCATTTTGTCATTTGGATTGAGCTGTAAGATGTCACCATTTCCAATGACCCACCTGCTGTAGGTGAGCTGTGAGCGGGTTGGAGCTGCTGTCAGAGACTAGTTGAGTTCCAGTCTGCCCATTGTCCCAGGGATGACAGGCCTAGTGGAAAATCATCCTCAGACAAAATGAGACAGGTGAAGCCAGGTGGCTGTGGACACCAAGGATGGCTCTAGTCAATCAGTCACACACAGCCTTGTGCAAAACAGATCTGCGTCCAAATCACTGCCTTACCGTTCCCAGTAGTCACTTAGCAAGTGGCTCTTAACCTCTATGCCTCAGTTTCCTCTTCTGCAGCTGTCATGTGGGTATGGTGAGGATTCGGGGAGTTTTCAATTAACGGGTGACACCGGGCCACCAGTGTCACCTGTACTGACTAGGCACTGGAACTCTCCATCAGTCCAGACTCCTGGGAGACCCCAGGCATCTCTCACCAGCAACCCCTAAGCCAAGAGTGACAAAACGCCTACCTTCCACCCTGTCTACACTCTAGGTCACCCCATTTCTTCCTTGTCACCTTCTAGTCAGGGGCTCCCTGAAACCACAGCCTAACCAACTACTTTCTCAAATATAGTTCACCTTCCAGGGTTGATATTGGTTGGGTCAGGGCAAAAATTCCACTCCTGGCCTGGTGTCCTTTTCAAATGGCATTGTATCAGGGTTTAAGTTTTTTAGGCGTTTGTTTGTTTGTTTGTTTGTTTGTTTGTTTGTATCTGTTTTGGTCATAATGAGGTCCTAGTATCTGAGAAGCTAGTGTCTTTTGGAAACAGGTGACTGTCCTTTTTGGAGTGCAATGTGTGTCCTTGGTCTGCAGGTGTCACCCATAGAACCAAAGTCTTTGTGGCTGAGGATCTAAACATTCCATAATGCAGAAAAGAGCTCACAGCCCCTTTTACTCACGGAGCTGTGCGGCTCCGAGGCTGGCATAAAGCCACAGCCGTACAGAACTCATGTGAAGGCACCCCTTAAGGCCGACGTCCTCAACCTTAAACACTACCAGCCTTAAACGGATCCTCATGGTGTGGTGACCCCCCAGTCATAAAATCATTTCATTGCCTCTTCATAACTGTAATTTTGCTACTGTTATGAATCATAGTGTGGTCTTAGGCGACCACTGTGAAAATGTCATTGGACACCCCCCCTCCCTAAGGAGTCATGACCGACACAGAGGTTGAGAAACACCACCCTAAGGGCATCTGATTCAAGGGTTCTCTTGCTCATTCCCAAAGGCCTTTGGGACTCCAGGATCCTCCCCCTTCAATGGGAGTGGCCTCACTGAGCTAATTGTACACACAGTGGCTTTGCATGGAAGGTGTCTGAGAGGGGTTCACAGCTAACCAAACCTCAAAATACTGTCCTCAATACATATCTGTATCGTTTGAGACAAACTCTGAAGTCACCTGGCAAGGCTGTCCTAGTGACTCAATGTGTGTGTCTCCAAGAGTTCCCAGAGTCATCAAACTGACAGGAGGTCTACACACACACACACACACACACACACACACACACACAACTACCTACCTCCCTGGGGTTCCCTGCAATGATGCTTGACCACCTCGCTGAGTCCAGAACAATTGCTCATGTGTGAGGAAGGACATAAGCACTGGAGTAGCTCCTGGAAATGTCCCAGCAGGGCCACTGTCCTTCCTGAGACCCAGCTGAGCTGCACCTGTGGAGGAGGCTCTGTCAGAAATCCTTCGAAATGATCGTGTTGGCCTCGCCTTCCAGGCTTACTCTCCGATAGTCCACCTTACTGTTTACAATGTTTCCCAACGTTTCCTTTCTGATCTAGCCTTCTTGTCATTCTTAATCCCAGCTCCTTTCAGCCATTAGGTCATTGACAAAAGACCCGTGGGAAGCCCAGGAAAGGGCGTGAGGAATAGCCCACAAGTTCATAAAGTCTGCTCAGCACTTAACTTACATAATAGCCCTGTACGTGGACAGTCTCTGGGGACCTCAAGGATCTCAAGGTCAAAGTGACTGACTGGCACTGGGGTGGACAGCTTCAGCACACGGAGGCTATACATCTTTCTTACGTGTTTGTGTTACCTTTCTTGCATATTTGTATTTTTGTCGAATTTTGCACTGTAATTTATATTCTATTTAAGCAGTACTTTAATATCTGTTGGTATAATACCAAAACCCTTAAATAAAGAGATCTATTTTTAGAGAAAACTAAAGTGCATTCAATTGTTTGGAATATTGAGATCTTGGATTGCATCCCCCCAAAGGAGAGCCAGAGAAAGGGGTCTGGGGACATACAGCTTCCAGAGGCCACCATAAGGAAATAGGGGATCAAGGCGGGGAGAAGAAGGCCAGCCAGTGAACATATAAAATTAAACAGGTCCCTGATCTGGAGATGGGGTCTCCACATCCCTGTGGATCTGATGTCCGTGCCTGGAGCTGGAAGACTCATGCTATGTGGGGTTTGCCTTTGGTTTGGTTTTGAACCTGAGGTCTCACACATGCTATGCAAGCGCTGTACCACTGAGCTGTTATCCCCAGCTTGGGGGGTGGGGGGGAAGAGGGGTCACCATGAATCCTTCAGGGATTGAGCTCAGGTCTGTGGGCTTGCACAGTGAATGCCTTTGGCCTCCATTTCTTGTTTGTGAGACAGGGTCTCACTAAGTTGGCCATGCTGGCTTTGAGCTTCCCCTACTGCCCAGGCGGATCTTGAACTTGTATCTTCCTGCCTCTGCTTTCGGAGTAGTTGGAGTGACAAGGCTGAACTGCCAGGCTCAGTTCCTCATGCACCTGCTGTTGGGATCCACACACACCGAGTGAGAAGAGTGAGCGCCGAGGGTCTGGTGCCATCTCGGCAGTGAGGCCGGAGCTTGTTCACCACCCTGGGAGCTCACCCAATGGAGACAGTGGTTCACAGAACGATGTCTTGGTGTGCCCAGCCTTGCAACCCTAAACTTGATGCAACAACTCTCTACGAGGGAAGGTGCCCAGCCTCCAGGGGACATGTCATGATTATGTGACACTGCACCTGCAGGTGTCACCGTAGACCGCTGCCGGTCAGACCCCAGACACAAGCCAAGCAGATCCAAGTCTCTGCAATCCAGTCCTCCCTGACCAGTGATGCCAGTGATGGGTGCGACAATGCCTTCCCTCCTCTGTACCTTCCTGTGTGCTTCCTACTCTGAGGGGTGGGACATCTCAGTCTACAGCAGGAATGCAGTCATTGGAGAAGCCATGATGTGCCTGGTGCCACAGAGGCCAGAAGAGGGCGTCAGATTCCCTGAAACTGGAGCTAGTGGGTGCTGGGAGCTGAACCTAGGTCCTCTGGAAGAGCAGCCACTGCCCTTAACCTCTGAGCCAGCTCCCTGTGTCCTAGTTTTAAGCCAGTCCTATCTATTATTTTTAACCCAATGGCTTTCCAATTCACAGGCACAGGCAGGGAGCAATGCAGTCTGTGGGCAGGCTCAGGAGTCTGTGGCCCACTTGACTGTTACACAAAGAGACCTTGAGAAAGCAGGGCAGATCTTCCTTTTCTGATCTTCCTCAATGATTCTGAGGTCCTGGACCTGTGTGCTGCCACCTTCTGGACGGTGGTGGGATGGCAGGACTGCCAGAGGCGTCTCAGCCTCCCCTTTCAACCCTGCTTTGACAAGAAATGGACTCTACATCCAGGCTCCAGCCTGGTTCAGGGTGGGCATTTGACACTGAATAAACAGGTGAAAGAAATAATAAGACCCCTATGTAAAATGGCTGACTAGAAGGAAGGAGTGAGTCAGAATAAGAAAAAACAGACTTTACTCCAAACCAAGAAATAGAAGAGCTTCAGAAAGTCACAGGAAAGAGAGGGCCAAAAAGAAGAGTAGCCAGAAGAAGTGAATGGAACACAGTCTCAGCCATGCTGTCCCCAATGGGGAGATGAGGAAACAGCCACTTCTAAAGCAGGCTGCCTGACAGCTGGGCAGCCCTGCCTCAGGACATGCTCAGAGCCTTCACAAGCCTCAAATCCAGCTGCTGGATTAGCAGTTTAGCAGTTCCCAAGGAGACACTGATTCCAATGGCTTACGAATCAGCAGCAAAGAAATTCTGTTTGGCCATGCCATCTTGAGAGAGAATCTGTTGTTTAAAAAGAAAAAAAACAAAACTAAACTAAACCCACCAGGCCTACTCCAGGGACCTGAGATCGGGGATTATCCATGTTAGACAACAAAGGCTTCCAGGGAGCAGGATCAGTCCTATCAGTACCTTCCCTAAGATGCTCAAGTCCTAGCCTGCAGCAGCCCCTAGGTGGGGTAGAGCTATAGAATTCATTCCTGTGTTTTTACCTTATTCCTATCTGGTACCTTCAGCAAACCGCTAAACTCAGAGACCCTCCCCTCTCAAGCCAATAAGATAAGGGGATGCCCTGCACTCTGGGGGTTGCTGATGAATCTCCCAGATTACCCCAAAACATCACTAAGGGGTATTCACTTGCAATCCATCTCAGCTCTTTTCTCTCTGACTCCGGAAGGAGTCTTTATTATTTAAGATAATCCACAACGTCCCCCGAGAAGCAACCTAGCCTGTTGTAGCTCCTGGGTAAAGAGATAGCTACAGAAAGCCAGAAGACCAGACTCTGACAAGCCCCAGGGCTCAGACAGCAGGAGGGTGGGCTCAGGCTAGGAAACACAGGAGAGATAGCTTCACCCTGCATCTGGGGACACATCTTACCAACTGAGAATCACCCTAGAGCACTGGTTCTCAACCTTCCTAACACTGTGACCCTTTAACATGAGCGGTTGCTCATATTGTGGTGACCCCCAACCATAAAATATTTCACTACTACTTCATAACTGTAATCTTGCTACTCTTATGAATCATAGTGTAAATATCTGTGTTT